CCCCCCCCAAAAAAAAAAGAAAGCTGAACCTTGACGAACACAAAGGGACCACCTGGTGTATCCAATGGGTGGGCGGCGTTGTGCGCTTGACGAAGGGCTTGGAACCTGGCCTCCATAACAACCTCGGCTTACACCACAAGGTCTAGCCAATGCCAAGGGAACACATACGTCACACATTGAGGCAACAGGAAAAAGGTAGAAAACCCCACCCCGACCGATTGAAATCCCCTGAAGGGCCTGAAGCATTAAAAACCAACCCAAAAAACAGGAGTTTTTCTTTCTTCTTTCTTAGTTTTTCTCTTGGGGCAACTGCACGTGGGTCACAACCCACCTTTAGAATGAGCCAAGAAAACACTTTGTCGGCAGTGCTATCCCCGCCGCAGTTCAAAACGGCAATAACAACGAAGGGCTGCGTTTTAGACACAGGGCCTGCTTGAAACAGACAATTTTTGTCTTTTTCCGTAACCGGTTCCACGTAACAGCCCCCTGCCCTAGGTACGTGGGCTGACCGGTCCCACTCGTTCCCAATCCAGGCGACAAGGGACCGGATGAGGCAACGTGCAGAGTGATCGTTGGGGGAACCGGCTCCCTCTCTCCCAATATCGCGCGGCGCTGGCTTCTGCGGGGATACGCCCCTGTGAGGGAACCGGCTCCCCCATCTCTCTCTCTCTCTCTCTCTCTCTCTCTCTCTCTCTCTCTCTCTCTCTCTCTCTCTCTGTGTGTGTGTGCATGTGGACTGAATGTTGCCCAAGATTCTTGTGCAAATTAGTCAAGAATAAATGGTAATTCTCTAGATCTTTTAAACAAAGTTTGAGCAGAGGCTTGGCAACTGCGACCTGGATGGACACCGTGTGAATGATCAATCAAATCTGTGTTCTCCATAGGACCCTTTGTGATGTCCATTCGCGTAAAGGCTGTTGAATAGTGTAAGTCCCAATGCAACACTTCTTTTCTTTTTGTGGGTGGGGGCATCATCAGTCCCAATGACTCCCAAAGCACTTTGTAATAAGAAAGCCTTTCATTTTTAAATTTGCCCACTGATATGACCCAGACCAATGAATAAGAAGAAGAAAGCCTGTGAGTTAGGGCCTGGTTCCCCTACTGGACATTCTACATGCATTTGGATGCTTTCTGGACCAGGTGCATTATGAATGTATGGGGATTATTGTCAGCCCCTGATCCATATCGAGTGTTCTGTAGTGGAGCGAGGCTCTTTGCGGGATAAATTTGCCCACCTATGTGACCCCAAACCAATGAGATAAGAGGACATAACTTGCGTCCCTCGGGAAATTAGAACAATACAGAGAAAGAATAAGATTAGCATGGCCCCTGTGGAAGTATGACACGCATAAATCGAGACATGGTCCAATTAAAAAAAAAAAAAAAAAGAATAAAAGAAATAAGACAACTTGCACCGTCAAAAAAAAAAAAAAAAAAAAAAAAAAAAAAAAAAAAAAAAAAAAAAAAAAAAAAGAAGAAAGAATACAACTTGCACAGTCAGCTCTTCCCTTCTTGATTTATGTGTGGCATCCTTGCGCAGGGGCCATGCATGATAGAACTCTCAGGGCATACTCACACTATCTAGTCCATCTTTTAGTGATGGTAGCCATTGGTAGGCTCAATCGACAGTTGCGGTGCCTATTGTCTGTAGCCCCCTTTGACTGTGTAGTCTCACATGTGCATTGGTTTTCCGTTTGCCCATTCCCACTCATCAGGATCAAAGGGTAGGGCTGCAACTGGAGTCGAGGACTCATAGGCGAAAACCCCCTCTTTGTGGTCACCAACCACTCTTATGTGCATGAGGGACTCCCAGTTTTCTTCGTAGTCAAGTTCTTCGTTGCTTACAATCTGTGACATCCTCGCTCCTGGAAGCCCTGGCTGGTGATAAAGGTTAACTCCCTTGAGGCTGGCTCTTCTGCTGAACATCATGAAAGGCCAAAGGCAGGCCTTCAATATGGCTTCGCGTGATCTATATCATGTTGTATAGCAATGTCAAGAGCGACAGCAACGCAGACATGCATCGCAAAAAAAAAAAAAAAAAAAAAAAAAAAAAAAAAAAAAAAAGAGAGGAAGCCCTGGCTCGTGGGCCTCTAATAGTTCGCCTCCATTCTGTAGACCACGAGTGGCAGTGGCAGGTCTGCACGTTTGACCACCCAGTCCCCTTGCTGCACAGTGGGCCCTCTTTTCAAGACAAGTTGCCAGGCAATCGGTATGGCCTCTCGCAGCGAGCCCAGTTTGGCGGTCACGTATTTGGTATATTTCAATTTTTGTTGTAATTGGTCTGGTGAGATCCAGTCCCCTCTTTCCACGTCCCACAGGCTGCCTATAGTGTATATGCCTCGTTTGACCCAATTGAGCCACGGAGAGTTTGTGGTGAGAGGGAAGAGATTCCCGTTAACGTCGAGTGTGTGGGGGTTGCCAAAGAGAGGTTGTCGCCATTCTGTTTT